ATAACATGACACCGAGGTGAGAAGTGTTGGGGGGAGAGCAGTGGGACTTTCCCCTTTGTTCTCCCTGCTGGGCCCTGAGGGTCAAAATTATATAAGAAATACTATCTCTGTGGGGCTGGGTATCACGGAGGTGAGACATTTTCAGGGGAGGGCAGGGCAGACTCCTCTTTGGTTTTATTGTGGGCTAGATACAGGTGGGGGCAGCCATCATGACGGTTGAACGTCAGTATTAATGTGTCTGATTACTTCCCTGCTGGATTATAAGGGTCTTAAATTGTATAACATGCTACCCAGATTGGTTATTACCCATGGATTATATTAGCCGTTGTAGTGTGGGTTTTGTAGGAGTTAAGTGGTCTCACGTTTGCTACAGTAGATAACCTCTAATATATTACTGCATTTGATCAGCTTCGTCTACTTAAACTCTAAACGCAAACGGTATTACTAACAGTATTTTTATTTAGAAATTTCAGCCACATATTTATATTATCCACGAACCTGTCAATAACTGTATAAGGATCTTCAATTCCTAAGAGTTCAAGTTTTTTAACATATTTTTCCTTTTCCGCGGGCGCGATTCTTTACATACGGTGAACACGTCCAGCGTTGGTGAACACGTCCAGCGCTGGCGAACAGCTGATTGTGTTTACGTCTGATGTACACCACTGTGGCGGCGGGCGTAGGTATCACGTGATTTAGGTCACGTGTTTGCAAGGACTCTATTATGAAACAAACAAGTGCAGCACTGAATGTTTTACTCACACACACACACACACGCACACACACACACACACACTCACACACACACACACATCCACACACACTCACACACACACACAGCGCTCAAAACCTGGAGAGAAATGGCTGGCATTCAGCGACACGTCAAAATGTAATCATTCCAAGCGCAGGAAATCCGCGTCGCATCTCCGCTTACATTATTGATGGGGCTAAATGGTAGGTGACGGCGTGCAGTGGCCAGGTTTAGCGAGGAATCGAGCCAAAATAATTCTCGTTTTACTTAATTTGGTCGTGCATGTGGCCAGATATGGCATGAGTGTGAAACGATGAAAAAAGCCAAAAAATAAATATTTATATTTCACACGCAAAACAATACAATTACTTAATAATTTCAAACGTGTCAAGCAGATAGAAGTATACCGCATAAAAAAATAAATCATTGTATATAAATCTGTTTTTATTATAAATTTATTTATGTTTTAATACCTTTATTAATATTTGGAGAAAAAAATATCAAAGTGCTGAGTAAACGATATTAAAGTATGTTGCTTTATAAATCAGAACAAAACCGAATATGTTATATATGTCGAGATTATGTGTTTCATTATGCGACACTTAACAAGTTTATCATATAAATCTATTATATGTGTACACAGTCTAAGTCAGGAATAAATCTGTCTCAAGTGTGTACATGGTCAAATAACATTGCTGATCACACAGTCAAGCGATCAATCACAGTCAGCGCTTTAATCATACTGATGTGGGTAATCTTGTTATAGATAATCTCGCCATTGGTAATGTTGTAGTAGTAAGTTTGTCTGGTGAAATTGTAACGGCAATCTTGTCAAGGTAATTTTGTCAAGGTAATCTTGTCAAGGTAGTCTTGTCATAGCTAATCTCGCCATTGGTAATGTTGTAGCAGTAAGTTTGTCAGGGGAACTTGTAACGGCAATATTATCAAGGTAATATTGTCAAAGTGATCTTGCCAAGGTAATCTAGTCAAGGTAATCTTGCGACTAGTAATCTTGTGATCAGATGTCGTGCCTTCATCATCATCGTTACCTATTTCTGCCCAAAACACATGGGAGCCGCCACAGAAAGCACCCTCCACTTCTGTCGGTCACCGGCAATTTTATTGGCAGTCCCCCATGACAATCCCGCCATCATCACAAGGTCCACCCACCCAACATCACAAGATCCACCCACCCAACATCACAAGATCCACCCACCCAACATCACAAGGTCCACCCACCCAACATCACAAGGTCCATCCACCCAACATCACAAGGTCCATCCACCCAACATCACAAGGTCCATCCACCCAACATCACAAGGTCTATCCAACATCACAAGGTCCATCCACCCAACATCACAAGGTCTATCCAACATCACAAGGTCCATCCACCCAACATCACAAGGTCCATCCACCCAACATCACAAGGTCCACCCACCCAACATCACAAGGTCCATCCACCCAACATCACAAGGTCCACCCAACATCACAAGGTCCACCCACCCAACATCACAAGGTCCACCCACCCAACATCACAAGGTCCATCCACCCAACATCACAAGGTCCACCCACCCAACATCACAAGGTCCATCCACCTAACATCACAAGGTTAATCCACCCAACATCACAAGGTCCATCCACCCAACATCACAAGGTCCATCCACCTAACATCACAAGGTTAATCCACCCAACATCACAAGGTCCATCCACCCAACATCACAAGGTCCATCCACCCAACATCACAAGGTCTATCCAACATCACAAGGTCCATCCACCCAACATCACAAGGTCCACCCACCTAACATCACAAGGTTAATCCACCCAACATCACAAGGTCCATCCACCCAACATCACAAGGTCCATCCACCTAACATCACAAGGTCCATCCACCTAACATCACAAGGTCCACCCACCCAACATCACAAGGTCCATCCACCCAACATCACAAGGTCCATCCACCCAACATCACAAGGTCCATCCACCCAACATCACAAGGTCCACCCACCTAACATCACAAGGTTAATCCACCCAACATCACAAGGTCCATCCACCCAACATCACAAGGTCCATCCACCTAACATCACAAGGTCCATTCACCTAACATCACAAGGTCCATCCACCCAACATCACAAGGTCCATCCACCCAACATCACAAGGTCCATCCACCCAACATCACAAGGTCCATCCACCCAACATCACAAGGTCCATCCACCCAACATCACAAGGTCCATCCACCCAACATCACAAGATCCACCCAACATCACAAGGTCCACCCACCCAACATCACAAGGTCCATCCACCCAACATCACAAGGTCCACCCACCCAACATCACAAGGTCCACCCACCCAACATCACAAGGTCCATCCACCCAACATCACAAGGTCCACCCAACTAACATCACAAGGTTAATCCACCCAACATCACAAGGTCCATCCACCCAACATCACAAGGTCCACCCACCCAACATCACAAGGTCCATCCACCCAACATCACAAGGTCCACCCACCCAACATCACAAGGTCCACCCACCTAACATCACAAGGTCCACCCACCCAACATCACAAGGTCCATCCACCCAACATCACAAGGTCCATCCACCCAACATCACAAGGTCCATCCACCCAACATCACAAGGTCCACCCACCTAACATCACAAGGTCCACCCACCCAACATCACAAGGTCCATCCACCCAACATCACAAGGTCCACCCAACATCACAAGGTACACCCAACATCACAAGGTCCACCCAACATCACACGGACCATCTACCACAACATCAGACTCTACCCACCCAACGCCCACCGTTCACAAGTTCCCCCCCCCCCCCTCAAACAGCCATCTTGCAATTATAGTCTTAAAGACCTATTAGACGGTGTTCAAGTGTTGTATATTTAGATCTTATAATCCCAGTTACTATTCTAAGAATCTGGCGTATTAAAAACTTTAACTTATCTTCGAAACAAATGAAACCAGCTATCAGCTATCATTTAAAGATTTGTTTACAATTTCTTTAGAAGACGGATCAAAATTACATTATTCTTGAAGAAATATGACCTTAGCAGGGACATTGATGAGGAATATTTAACTGAAGTTGTTAAAAATTAAAGACTAGGAATTTGAGAAAGACATGAAAAAAGTAATTATGTCTTCTTCTTTTTACATAAAGATGCAATTATTAATTACATTTTCAGCCTCACGAAAGAAGGGTATTTTTAGCTTTGTCTTGGGAAAAAATCTGAGACATTTTCAACCTTATGTTAGTCTACATTGTTGATAGGTAGGTTTTCTAAAGCACGTAAATATACATACGTAGAAAGAGCGAGGTAGGATCGAGAATTTCACTTTTAAAAAATAATTGTAAATAGAATTAATGCACAGTCACCTTTGTGATTTTTTCAGGTGTGGGTGTGTGTGTGTGTGTGTGGAGGGGTGGGGGGGGGGGGGGCAGAGGCGTAGCGACCCTTCCCGGCGCCAGGGGACAAACTTTTCGATTTGCACCCCCACCCCTCAAGATTTCGATTTGCACCCCCCTCTCAAGATTTCAATTTGCACCCCCCTCAAACTTTCAATTTATTTTTCCAACCCATTTTGGCGCCCCCTCAGGTCGGCGCCCGGGGACATATGTCCCCGCCCCCCCCCCCCACGCTACGCTACTGGGGGAGGGAGGTGGGGATCGTGGTGTGTGTGGTGAGCTTCTTCATCATTTTCCCCAGGGCGAAACAGAAAAATATAAAATTTGTATGAAAAGTAGGCCTACATATGCCATTTAACCTATTTATTTTAATTTAAGCCTCTTAGGATAACATATTTACGTAATCTACATAAAATTCAGATTTACCCTTGAAATGATATTGAAAGTATGAATGGAAATTAATATTTTTAGTACAAACAATAGTCTACTTTAAAATTAAACAATAGTCTTCTTTAAAATTAAACAATCGTCTTCTTTAAAATTAAACAATAGTCTACTTTAAAATTAAACAATAGTCTACTTTAAAATTAAACAATAGTCTACTCTAAAATTAAACAATAGTCTTCTTTAAAATTAAACAATCGTCTACTTTAGAATTAAACAATAGCCTTCTTTAAAATTGTTTTGTGTTATTTAAAAATAATAAAACTTTTTTTTTCTATTCTAAAATATGGCTTATATATTGTTAGTACATGAAAAAAAAAAGAATTTACGTCATCAAAATGGTTGCAAGAAAACCCCGGAGACCACGGAAGTGACGTCAAATTGTGTACTTATGACGTGCCCTCTGTTGCCAAGAAGTCCAAGACTACAAGACAAGAAGCCATTTCTTCCGCTCCCACTAAATTATTCTATCATCACCAAACACCCAGAATTGTTCAAAGATGGCGCCAAGCAGACGTCGGCCCACCGCTAGAGGACGGAGGACCACAGTCAGGAGGAGGAGGCCCGCAGCTCGACAGTCGAGAAACAGCTACCAAGGTCGACGAAGGCGCAGCTCCACCCCCAAACGTAAACGCCGGAGCAAACTGCCAGAGTTTGAGTATCCTAAGACAGTCCCAAAGAACATGCAGGACGTCAAGTTCAACTCTTACATCAAGAAGGTGAGTACTTTGGGCGTGTCCTTGGTCAAGATGGTGATTTTTTTCTTAAATGCTAGATCGCTAATGTTATTTCAAGTAGACAAGTAGGCTATACCTACATTAAGACGGTCTGCTTATAAACTATTCTTACATCTAGAAGGCTATAAGTACATCAAGACTGAGAGTTTTTAAGCTATTCGTACACCAAGAAGGTATGTAGGCTATTCGTACATCAAGGTGTGTTGGCTATTCGTACATAAAGACTAAATTGTTACAAAAACAAGGTGAGTGCATTGGGCGAGTCCTTAAACAAGATGATGAGTTGTTTTTAAAAGCTATACCTAGATCTATATCAAGAAGGCTATAGAATCTATATATCAACTAGGCTACATCAAGACGGTCAGTTTTTAATCTATTCTTATATCATGAAGGTGTATATGCTATTTCTACATGAAGACTGACACTTTTTATGCTATTCTTACAACTAGAAGGCGAGTAGGCTATTTCTACATCAAGACGGTCAGTTTTAGGCGATAAATCAAAAGGTAAATACTAAGCTCGGTTTAGTAAATCTTAGATCTAGATTCAAAAGAGTATAGTTCTAATTGAAGATAATTATTATAAAAGATAATCCCAGCAAAGATCAGATCCCGAAGAAGGTGAGGTACTGTAGTCATTACTACATCAAACTATAACATTTGTAAGGAATTCCTACATCAAAAGGTAAGTGCTTAACATCATTCATATACAATATTACTGATTTCTGTGCTTACTGATTTCATTAACTATATCAAGTATGTCAGTCTAGTAGCCTCGTAAAATAGTACAGCAGAACTATTCCAGAGCTTTCCCACAAGATTAAATTGGCATATGTTTTTTGCCTGTAAAGTAATTCTAGGTAGTAAGGTAAAGCTCATCAAAAGGTGCCGTTTAGCTTATTTTACTACGTTTAACTAATTAGGAACGTGGAAAACGTTTGAAGCTTTTATATAGTTGATATTCCTGTCTAAGCTGGAATGGCACACAACCTTTGCTGGCACCATTGTCCTCTGACGTAAACCTATACTGGCATCAATGTGCCCATACTTAAACCTACATGACATCAATGTGCCCATACTTAAACCTACATGACATCAATGTGCCCATACTTAAACCTACATGGCATCAATGTGCCCATATTTAAACCTACATGGCATCAATGTGCCCATATTTAAACCTACATGGCATCAATGTGCCCATACTTAAACCTATATGGCATCAATGTGCCCATACTTAATCCTACATGACATCAATGTGCCCATACTTAAACCTACATGGCATCAATGTGCCCATACTTAAACCTATACTGGCATCAATGTACCCATACCTAAACCTACATGACATCAATGTGCCCATACTTAAACCTATACTGGCATCAATGTGCCCATACTTAATCCTACATGGCATCAATGTGCCCATACTTAAACCTACACTGGCATCAATGTACCCATACCTAAACCTACATGACATCAATGTGCCCATACTTAATCCTACATGACATCAATGTGCCCATAGGTAATCCTACATGGCATCAATGTGCCCATACTTAAACCTACATGACATCAATGTGCCCATACTTAAACCTACATGGCATCAATGTGCCCATACTTAAACCTACATGGCATCAATGTGCCCATACTTAAACCTACATGGCATCAATGTGCCCATACTTAAACCTACATGGCATCAATGTGCCCATACTTAAACCTATATTGCATCAATGTGCCCATACTTAAACCTACATGACATCTATGTGCCCATACTTAAACCTACATGGCATCAATGTGCCCATACTTAATCCTACATGGCATCAATGTACCCATACTTAAACCTACATGACATCAATGTGCCCATACTTAAACCTACATGGCATCAATGTGCCCATACTTAAACCTATATTGCATCAATGTGCCCATACTTAAACCTACATGACATCTATGTGCCCATACTTAAACCTACATGGCATCAATGTGCCCATACTTAATCCTACATGGCATCAATGTACCCATACTTAAACCTACATGACATCAATGTGCCCATACTTAATCCTACATGACATCAATGTGCCCATACTTAAACCTACATGGCATCAATGTGCCCATACTTAAACCTACATGTCATCAATGTGCCCATACTTAAACCTACAAGCCATCAATGTGCCCATACTTAAACCTACATGGCATCAATGTGCCCATACTTAAACCTATATTGCATCAATGTGCCCATACTTAAACCTACATGACATCTATGTGCCCATACTTAAACCTACATGGCATCAATGTGCCCATACTTAATCCTACATGGCATCAATGTACCCATACTTAAACCTACATGACATCAATGTGCCCATACTTAATCCTACATGACATCAATGTGCCCATACTTAAACCTATATGACATCAATGTGCCCATACTTAAACCTATATTGCATCAATGTGCCCATACTTAAACTTATATGACATCAATGTGCCCATACTTAAACCTATATGGTGTCAATGTGCCCATACTTATACTTATATGACATCAATGTGCCCATACTTAAACCTACATGACATCAATGTGCCCATACTTAAACCTATATTGCATCAATGTGCCCATACTTAAACTTATATGACATCAATGTGCCCATACTTAAACCTATATTGCATCAATGTGCCCATACTTAAACTTATATGACATCAATGTGCCCATACTTAAACCTACATGACATCAATGTGCCCATACTTAAACCTATATTGCATCAATGTGCCCATACTTAAACTTATATGACATCAATGTGCCCATACTTAAACCTATATGGCATCAATGTGCCTATACTTAAACATACATGACATCAATGTGCCCATACTTAAACCTACATGACATCAATGTACCCATACTTAAACCTATCCTGACATTAATAGCCGAGACTTTTACCTACACTGGCTAGTATCAACAGAATATAACATCCTTTTATTAACGTGAGGCCAGTGTATAACTTAACGATTACTACCTTAGTTAAACTAAAACCTAACTCTACACAAGCTTAAAGTATGCACGGTAATTCGATGCTGGTTTATGTTTTAGCTCTTCCACTAATCTAAACTCGCCAGTGACATAAGATGTAATCCTGACTCTTTTAGTGATAACAGCTATAGTTTTTATCACAGCTATAGTTTGTTTTTATCACAGCTATAATTTTTATCTCAGCTATAGTTTTTATCACGGCTATAGTTTTTATCACAGCTATAGTATTTATCACAGCTATATTTTTTATCACAGCTATATTTTTTATCACAGATATATTTTTATCACAGCTATAGTTTTTATCACAGCTATAATTTTTATCACAGCTATAGTTTTTATCACAGCTATATTTTTATCACAGCTATAGTTTTTATCACAGCTATAATTTTTATCACAGCTATAGTTTTTATCACAGCTATAGATTGTTTTTATCACAGCTATAATTTTTATCACAGCTATAGTTTTTATCACAGCTATAGCTTTTATCACAGCTATAGCTTTTATCACAGCTATAGTTTTTATCACAGTTATAGTTTTTATCACAGCTATAGTTTTTATCACGGCTATAGTTTTTATCACAGTTATAGTTTTTATCACAGCTATAGTTTTTATCACAGCTATAGTTTTTATCACAGCTATAGTTTTTATCACAGCTATAGTTTTTATCACAGTTATAGTTTTTATCACAGCTATAGTTTTTATCACAGCTATAGTTTTTATCACAGCTATAGTTTTTATCACGGCTATAGTTTTTATCACAGTTATAGTTTTTATCACAGCTATAGTTTTTATCACAGCTATAGTTTTTATCACAGTTATAGTTTTTATCACAGCTATAGTTTTTATCACAGCTATAGATTTATCACAGCTATAGCTTTTATCACTGCTATAGCTTTTATCACAGCTATAGTTTTTATCACAGCTATAGTTTTTATCACAGCTATAGTTTAAAAAAATAAAAAAAACCCAAATCAACTGGGGCAGAAACTTCAAGTCATCCCCCACCAAATTGCCTCCCTCCCCGACCAAATTGCCTCCCTCCCCCGACCAAATTGCCTCCCTCCCCCGACCAAATTGCCTCTAACCCCCGACCAAATTGCCTCCCACCCCCGACCAAATTGCCTCCCACCCCCGACCAAATTGCCTCCCTCCCCCGACCAAATTGCCTCCCACCCCCGACCAAATTGCCTCCCTCCCCCGACCAAATTGCCTCCCTCCCCCGACCAAATTGCCTCCCTCCCCCGACCAAATTGCCTCCCTCCGACCAAATTGCCTTTAACCCCCCACCAAATTGCCTCCCACCCCCCACCAAATTGCCTCCCTCCCCCGACCAAATTGCCTCTAACCCCCGACCAAATTGCCTCCCTCCCCCGACCAAATTGCCTCCCTCCGACCAAATTGCCTCCCTCCCCCGACCAAATTGCCTCCCACCCCCCACCAAATTGCCTCCCTCCCCCGACCAAATTGCCTCTAACCCCCGACCAAATTGCCTCCCTCCCCCGACCAAATTGCCTCCCTCCCCAAATTGCCTCCTTCCCCCGAACAAATTGCCTCACAATAAATTATTGAGTCAACCCAGCATTTTGTTCTTTACTTTTAGGTTAGGCATTAACGAATATTTTCGGCTAAATTAGCTTCTCCATAATGTAAAAAGTTCAACTTATACCAATAATGAACTCCTAAATTAATCCCCCCCCTCCCATTGTTTTCTCTAATGATGTGAACTGGTCATCAGGTGTCGAAGCGCATACAGCCCTATCACATCCTGAACGGGAAGTCGGTCAGGATGATAGACGCCCTATTAAAAAACGCCCTGCACAGTATCGCCAACCAAGCCAAAACCAAGATGGGACGGAGGAAAGTTCTCAAGGTATGGGCTCACCTTTTTTTTTTTAGGTCGGGCGGTATCGATACACTTTAGAAAGTAGCACGTTATGTTGGCGGTATCGATACACTATTGAAAGTGGCACATGTTAGGTCGGGCGGTATCGATACACTATTGAAAGTGGCACATGTTAGGTCGGGCGGTATCGATACACTATAGAAAGCGGAACATGTTGAGTTGGGCGGTATCGACACACTATTGAAAGTGGCACATGTTATGTCGGGCGGTATCGACACACTATTGAAAGTGGCACATGCTATGTAGGACGGTATCGATACACTACAGAACGTGATACACATTAGGTAGGGCGGTATCGATACACTATAGATAGTGGCACACGTTAGGTCGTACTGTCGCAATCAGACACAAGCTTCGTTGTACGTTTCTTGGGGGCGGTATCGAAGTACTTTTAGAAGTGGCCACAAGCTGGGCGGTTTCGACCCTGCTGATATCGCAACCCTACATCCGACCCCAATCCCGAACTCTAACCGTTAACTCTAATCTTGTCCCAGCCCTAACGCTAACCGTTATTTTATCCCAGTCCTACTCATGTTCCTAACCTGACCTGATAATGTGTCCACGAAACTGTAGTTCAATCAAATGGATGCACATTTAACCCTTGTTCTAAACCTACCCTAGCATATGCCAACTAACCATATGCCCATAATACAACTAGTATATACCATGCCAACTAACCATATGCCCACCATATGCCCATAATACTACTAGTATATACGATAACGGCACATCGACCCATAATCTTACCCCTAACCAGTACCAACCCCGCGCTTAAATCTTCTCCTTTTTAACCAGATTTTGGTGAAGTTTGGATAATCTTAACCCTAGCCTAATTTAAACCGTTTCACCATACTGTTATAATTCTGCAAATCTTTAAAATTTTGGGTCGACATTATACGGCATCACTTTTTGGGCATTGGGTTAGCGTAAGACAAGGTGTTAGGATTTGGGATGGATGTTTAAAGATGTTGGGATTAGGCATAGATTTTTAAAGGTGTTGGGGGATTAGGCATAGATTTTTAAAGGTGTTGGGATTAGGCATAGATTTTTAAAGGTGTTGGGATTAGGCATAGATTTTTAAAGGTGTTGGGATTAGGCATAGATTTTTAAAGGTGTTGGGATTAGGCATAGATTTTTAAAGGTGTTGGGATTAGGCATAGATTTTTAAAGGTGTTGGGATTAGGCATAGATTTTTAAAGGTGTTGGGATTAGGCATAGATTTTTAAAGGTGTTGGGATTAGGCATAGATTTTTAAAGGTGTTGGGATTAGGCATATATTTTTAAAGGTGTTGGCATTAGGCATAGATTTTTAAAGGTGTTGGGATTAGGCATAGATTTTTAAAGGTGTTGGGATTAGGCATAGATTTTTAAAGGTGTTGGGGGATTAGGCATAGGTTTTTAAAGGTGTTGGGATTAGGCATAGATTTTTAAAGGTGTTGGGATTAGGCATAGATTTTTAAAGGTGTTGGGATTAGGCATAGATTTTTAAAGGTGTTGGGGTATTAGGCATAGATTTTTAAAGGTGTTGGGATTAGGCATAGATTTTTAAAGGTGTTGGGATTAGGCATAGATTTTTAAAGGTGTTGGGATTAGGCATAGATTTTTAAAGGTGTTGGGATTAGGCATAGATTTTTAAAGGTGTTGGGATTAGGCATAGATTTTTAAAGGTGTTGGGATTAGGCATAGATTTTTAAAGGTGTTGGGGGATTAGGCATAGATTTTTAAAGGTGTTGGGGGATAAGGCATAGATTTTTAAAGGTGTTGGGGGATAAGGCATAGATTTTTAAAGGTGTTGGGGGATAAGGCATAGATTTTTAAAGGTGTTGGGATTAGGCATAGATTTTTAAAGGTGTTGGGATTAGGCATAGATTTTTAAAGGTGTTGGGATTAGGCATAGATTTTTAAAGGTGTTGGGATTAGGCATAGATTTTTTTATAGGTGTTAGGATCTGGCATGGATATTTAAAGTAGTTACGATTAGGTATGTATTTTTAAAGGTCTTAGGACTAGCCATAACCTTTTAATTAAAACAAAGAGTGAAGTAAAGATCAAGTTAACTTAAACAATCGGCTCATATCGATTAGCTATACCTTCTTTTTTTTTGTAGAGAAATTCGCGAATGTTATTCCTAGGTCCTGGCTTAACTCCTTTACGCGTAACTTTGTAACTGACCCTAACCTTACCACCAAACCTAACCTTGACCTCTAATTAAACCCTTCTACCAATGGCTCTGTATTGACGAGTTTCGTTGAGCGTATTTGACCAGGATGAAATTCTAGAGCTCACGTTCAAGAGTCGTTAGTGGACTTCACTGAGTTAACTCAGCTCTAATGGGTACCCAGCAGGGTTTTAACTCCCGGGCTCGGGTCTTCATGATGTCACTGAGTTAACTCAGCTCTAATGGGTACCTGCCAGGCTCGATTACCAAGCCCAGGTCTGTAGGACGTCACTGAGCTAACTCAGCTGTAACGGGTACCTGACAGGGATTCGATTTGGGTCTGCAGGTTGTCTCTGAGCCAACTCAGTTCTAATAAGTACTCAATGTGTTTGGCTTCCAGGCTCATTAACCGCATAGTGTTATTCACACGATACATTCATCCACGTCTAAATAAAGCTATATCCCATGCCTAAACTAGCACAGCCAAATTCCAATACCCGAGCCATACATTCTTACTTAATTCTACACAAACAAGGCACACATTGACCTGCACCATTTAAACTGACCCCCTTCCTCCCCAGCCCCCCATCATCACTCGAGCCCTGAGGAAAATGATCCCCAAATCTATCTTGGAAAGAGCCCACGAGCATGCTCAGCGAGCCCTGGACAAGTACGAGTCACGAACAAGGCGGTATTAAACTCCGGTTCTGTTGTCCAGACTTCTTGGACGTTCGCGTAATAGATTAGTAGATCTTCAATAAAGACACCAGGATCCATCTTTCACGTCATCAAGTCTAGTGCTCATCACATGTTTCATGCCCTGAGGATAGAATCAAATTGTGATAGATCAATAGGTGGATATCATCGCAGATTGGTAGAAGTAAATTTGACTCGTATAAAGGTGATTGGTTGAAAAAATGGGCGCGGAAGTGACGTATGCCGACAACATTGATGACTTCATTGACCAGTATGTTGATATCTAGTTTCTTGGCCTTAGGAGTGGGTGAAGTCTGCGGCATGTGTTTTGTGAGTAATGGCACCTACGACATCTTTGTGAAATTGTGACATCTTTGTGAATTTGTGACATCTTTGTGAATTTGTGACATCTTTGTGAATTTGTGACATCTTTGTGAATTTGTGACATCTTTGTGAATGTGCGACATCCGCATTAATTAGACATTGAAATAAACATGCACATAAAGGGACCACAATATTTTCTGATTTTTTTTATGTTGGATGCTAGTTTAATAAATTTAATACGTGTTAGTATGTTGTCATCTTAGAATATATACACTAAGACATAAGTATCTTATACTGAAGGCAGTAACACAAGAAACAGAGTTGGGGTGTTAGGAACACCTGTCTCGTGTGTGATAGGTGCAGGGTGTCTCAATTACCTGTCTTGTGTGTGACAGGTTCAGGCTGTCTCAATTACCTGTCTTGTTTGAGACAGGTGCTGGCTGTCTCAATTACCTGTCTTGTGTGTGACAAGTACAAGGTGTCTCAATTACCTGTCTTGTGTGTGACAGGTGCAGGCTGTCTCAATTACCTGTCTTGTTTGAGACAGGTGCAGGCTGTCTCAATTACCTGTCTTGTGTGTGACAGGTGCAGGCTGTCTCAATTACCTGTCTTGTGTGTGACAGGTTCAGGCTGTCTCAATTACCTGTCTTGTGTGTGACAGGTGCTGGCTGTCTCAATTACCTGTCTTGTTTGAGACAGGTGCTGGCTGTCTCAATTACCTGTCTTGTGTGTGACATATGCAGGGTGTCTCAAATACCTATCTTGTGTGTGACAGGTGCAGGCTGTCTCGAATATACTGTCTTGTTTGAGACAGGATCTAGACACACCTGTCAAAGAGCCCAAAACAAACACAGCCCATATTTACACACAAAAAAACAACAAAACAATCGCCATATTTGTAAACAAATAATACTGTTTGTAAATCTAAGCCCAGTCCCATGAAATCACATCTAAATTCAATCACACGAACGACGCACATCTAAACCCAATAACACACTCATTAAACCAAATCTCATTAATTCACATCTAAATTCAATTAGCCAACGCAATTCTTAATCAAATTACACTAAAGCACACAAATGTCGTCACTAACTTCTTTATAAAACAACCAACTTAATTTACAATTCCTTTCTAAAATTATTTTAATTAATTTTTTCTTCCTGCCTTCAACAAAAAAAAAAAAAATAACCCATACTGCCTCAAGAACGGTTTTGGTTTCTTTGAAATAAACCACGATGGCATTTTTACCCCATAAGCAAGATGATATCTGATCCAAATAGCAAGTATGCATAATGCAAGCTTGATGTTTGAATATTTAATGGGGACTCCATTATTTATAAGCGCAGTTGGTTAAAAGCTGACCTGGGATAAAGTTTCTTCAGACAAGTCTGTATGCTCTTAATGACGTGGATATTGGAAGACCGAGTTTTTGGCATTTAGTTTTAGCTTAATTTACATGGATCTATATTTAAGGGAATACGTATTAATCCGGGTTGTTAAATGTTTAAAATACGAAATGGATTTAAGAATAGGACGGTGTGATTGGGTGGTAGAGCACTCGACAGCTGACTCGAAAGTTCGGATTTTAATCAGGACTTTAGTCTACAGGACGTCCCTGAGTCCACCCAGCTCTGATGGGTACCTGCCTCACGTTAGATAAAGAAGAAACGGCTTGACATGATGCTGAACACATTATCCCCTCATAAGTTGATGTCACATAATATGAACTTTACTTGATTTTTGTTAGGTTAGGTCTAAAAAGGGAATTGTTACTTTTAATGGTATAAAAATATGCTAAAAATGGTTTAAAGCTGGGTTTAAATATCACTAATGTTTTCAAAATGTAGGCCTACTGATTAACAAAGGGTAAATAATTTCAGTAATGATTTTAAACTGCTCTGATTAACAAAGGGTAGGCTATCCAGCACTCATTTGCAAAATGTGCTAGGCTATCTAGCACTCGTCTGTAAAATGTGCTAGGCTATCTAGCACTCGTCTGTAAAATGTGCTAGGCTATCTAGCACTCGTCTGTAAAAAGTGCTAGACTATCCAGAACTCCTCTGTAAAATGTGCTAGGCTACCTAGCACTCGTCTGAAAAAATCACTGATCGAGAAAATATAGGGCTAGGCTCTAGAATCAGTCAGCAAAAAGTAGTGCTTGTCTCTCAGACCGTCTGTCTTGAATATGATGCAATCTGCGAGAGAGGTTTGTTATGAAAATACATAACATGTTTTCACATTATAATACATGACTGCTATTTTCATGACTGCAATTTTTATGACTGCAATTTTCCTGACTGCAAATTTCACATCACAATAAATGACTGCACTTTTCATAGCACTATAGGACTGCAATTTTCGTGACTGCAATTTTCATTGCACAATATGACTGCAAGTTTTATAACACAGTAAATGACTGCGAATTAAATTGCACAATATATCTGCAGTTTTCACATTGAAAATTACAATTCCTGCTTGCACAATAAATACGAAGACAAATACAATGATAAAAAAAAAGTTAAAAACCGAGTTGCAAAGTATGCCTCAGTTGCAAATTCATGGATCATCTATAAATATTTCAACACATAATTAAGATGGCCAAATGGCCTTGGAGCCGCGTCATTAATGATCCATGTTTGCCTCAATGTCCATTAATCAAGGAGAAAGGCCAGCCAATGTTAGCCACAGATTTTTAATGGCTTCCCTAAATGGCTTTTTTTTTTAAGTGGAGGCGTTGGTGGATGGAAAAAATGGAAAAAAGAAAATCGTTATACATGTATGTTGTGTGTGCGTGTTTGTTTGTGTGTCTGTATGTATGTGTGTCTTTATGTTTGTGTGTGTGTGTGTGTGTCTATATGTTGAGTATGTGTAAGAGTTTATATGACTGAGTGTAAATGTGTATGTAAGCGTGTGTGTCTGTATGTGTGTGTCTACGTTTTGAATTTGTGTGTATCTGAGTGTGTACGTGTGAGTGTATGTGAATTTATATGCGTTTATATGATTGTGTAGGTGCCTGCAAGCGTATATGTGAGTGTCTATGTGTTGAGTGTATGTGTCTGAGTTTTAAATGTGTATGTCTGTAACTGTGTGTGTGTGTCTGTATTTGTGTCTATGTGTGCGTGTGTCTGAGTGTATATGTTTCTGTAAGTGTGAGTGTGTGTCTAAAAATATGTATGAGTGTGTGCCTCTATTGGTGTATGTGTAGCATCATCACGCCATCACTGCCCGTCCATTTTGAAATCTTTGGTTGGCGGCACATACCCCAGCAAGGTGTGGGTGGGGGGGGGGAGTGTGGATGGGGGGGTGGACTGGCGGTGATGGTGTAACGATGAAATTTTACTTGATTAGTAAGTTATATTAGAGAAATAAGTTTTATTTAATATTTAGAAGAACATTTTATTTCAGATGTTATATTATTTAAAAAAAAAAAAACCAAAAGCCATATTAAGCATACCTGTTTGCACTATTGTCTATTTAATTTTCACGAAATTGATTTAGAAAACTGTGGTTTAAAAATAATTTAAGATAACGAAAATATAGATTAGTGTTTTCCAGTCTCATTGGCATTACCTCCCTTTGTGTGCATATATATAAATTATGTTTGCATGGTTTCAATTACATTTATTAAAGCTAATGGGGTTTCAGTGAGGTGCATGTTCATAACGAAGTTAATAAATGAGAAAAATATATTACAACAAAATGACATCAAAATGACAACAAAATCACGTCTAAATTCTAAAATGCCAAACTAGAAATTTATGGAAATAGTGGACAAAGTGTGTGTATGTGGGGGGGGGGGGGTGTGGTAGGGAAGGAGAGAGGAAGGAGAAGGAGATCGAGAGAGGATGGAAGGAAGAAACAGGAATAATTGGAGAAGGAATGAGAGGGACGAAGGGAAGGAGGGAGGGAGGGAGTGAAGGGGGAGGTAGAAGAAAAGACAGAAAGAAGCAGAGGGAGATGGTGAAGTGTGGGGTGAAACAGAAGTTGTGAGAGATCCATCCTCCTCTAGAGAAAGTTGAGGACATTTAGGGGAGAAACCTTTCGAAATGTAGTGTGTGTATGTATATGTGCGTGCGTGTGTGTGTGTGCGTGCATGTGTGTGTATGTGTGTGTGTGCGTGCGTGCGTGTGTGTGCGTGCGTGTGTTTGCGCGTGTGCGGAGAAAGAGAGTTAATGTGAACGATAACAGAGAAATAACATAAAATAAGAACATCACTATCAACAGAATAAGTCGTAACAAAACATCAACCAATGTTTCAAGTCTCAACTCTAAAACTGCAAGCGTTATAAAAAAAATCCTTATCCTTTTTTTTAGAACCGTTAACCAATTTTTCCATGCCTAACTATTTTTTAAAATGTCCAAAGTGCTTTTTCACAGGAGTTGAAAGGACTCCAAAAAACTTTTGTTTCTTATGTACGGGGCCAGTGTGGTGTAATCACATTTTGCTAAGCATGGCGCAATATTTATAGGTTAATGGGTGTGTATCCATCTTTAAAACAGTCGACCCGTCCATTCAAGTGTCCGTCCGTCCATCCGTCTATTGGTCCATTCATCCATTCATACATTTATCTATTTGTCCATCCGTCCGTTCGTCCATTTAGCCATTAAACATTTTGTCCATTCCTCCATTCCTCCAATCCTCCATTCGTCCATTCCTTCATTTGTCCATTTTTCCATTCCTCCATTTGTCCATTCGTCCATTCCTACATTTGTCCATTCGTCTATTTGTCCATTTGTCCATTCGTCTATTTGTCCATTTGACCATTCGTCCATTCCTCCATCTGTCCATTTGTCCATTTGTCAATTCGTCAATTCCTCCATTTGTCAATTTATCCATTCGTCTATTTGTCCATTCCTCCATTTGTCCATTCCTCCATTCCTCCATTTGTCCATTTGTCCATTTGTCCATTTGTCCATTTGTCCATTCGTCCATTCGTCCATTCCTCCATTTGTCCATTTGTCCATTCCTCCATTTGTCCATTCGTCCATTCGTCCATTTGTCCATTCGTCCATTTCTCCACTTCTCCATTCGTCCATCCATCCATCCATCCATCCCATAAACTATAACTGCGATATAAAACACCCATCAATTTTTTTACCCCCGCATCACGTGATCCTCTACACATCCTAACCCACTTAACCTAAACGTTTATGAGTGACTCAATGAAGTCAGCCAGTACATATTCTACCACACAAACAGCCCATCCTTTCACTCCATCACCAACCCTTCTTGAGCCGCAGTACTAAAAATACCGGTCAATTTGAGCCGGACTCTGGTCGAACATAAGACTTAAGGGCTGGTCACTGGGTCCGCGGACGTCCAGGGGAGCAATAGCCTTCACATGGGGACTTAAAGTCTTATCCGTGGGCAGCCAGGAGAAAAATCAATGGGATTCTTACACCAGCGAGTTATGGGACTTGGGCTGAAAAGTTTATTTCAATTTTATGGCTGCTAGCCTTGGGCAGATAGGTGAGACAACCAGTTTAGAAAGCCAACCAGGACAACCAGTTTAGAGATCCAGCCACGACAACCAGTTGAGAGAGCCAACCAGGACAACCAGTTTAGAGATCCAGCCACGACAACCAGTTTAGAGAGCAGCCAAGACAACCAGTTTAAGACAACCAGTTTATACTTTTATTTAAGACCAAACGGACATCCAGACAGACCAAATGGACATCCAGACAGACCAACCAGACAGACCAAATGGACATTCAGACAGACCAACCAGACAGACCAAAATGGACATCCAGATAGACCACCCAGACAGACCAAATGGACATCCAGACAGACCAAATGGACATCCAGACAGACCAAATGGACATCCAGACAGACCAAATGTACATCCAGACAGACCAAATGGATATCCAGACAGACCAACCAGACAGACCAAATGGACATTCAGACAGACCAAATGGACATCCAGACAGACCAAATGGACATCCAGACCAAATGGACATCCAGACAGACCATCCAGACAGACCAAATGGACATCCAGACAGACCAAATGGACATCCAGACCAAATGGACATCCAGACAGACCATCCAGACAGACCAAATGGACATCCAGACAGACCAAATGGACATCCAGACAGACCAAATGGACATCCAGACAGACCAAATGGACATCCAGATAGACCAAATGGACATCCAGACAGACCAAATGGACATTCAGACAGACAGACCAACCAGACAGGCCAAATGGACATCCAGACAGACCAAATGGACATCCAGACAGACCAAATGGACATTCAGACAGACAGACCAACCAGACAGGCCAAATGGACATCCAGACAGACCAAATGGACATCTAGGCAGACCAAATGGACATCCAGACAGACTAATTGGACATCCAGACAGACCAAATGGACATCCAGATAGACCAAATGGACATTCAGACAGACAGACCAACCAGACAGGCCAAATGGACATCCAGACAGTCCAAATGGACATCCAGACAGACCAAATCACATCCAGACAGACCAAACGGACATCCAGACAGACCAAATGAGCACCCAGACAGACCAAATGGACATCCAGACAGACCAAATGGACATCCAGACAGACCAAATGGACATCCAGACAGACCAAATGAGCACCCAGACAGACCAAATGGATATCCACACAGACCAAATGGACATCCAGACAGACTAATTGGACATCCAGACAGACCAAATGGACATCCAGATAGACCAAATGGACATTCAGACAGACAGACCAACCAGACAGGCCAAATGGACATCCAGACAGTCCAAATGGACATCCAGACAGACCAAACGGACATCCAGACAGACCAAATCACATCCAGACAGACCAAATCACATCCAGACAGACCAAATGGACGTCCAGACAGACTAAATGGACATCCAGACAGACCAAATGGACATCCAGACAGACCAAATGGACATCCAGACAGACCAAATGGACGTCCAGACAGACCAAACGGACATCCAGACAGACTAAATGGACATCCAGACAGACCAAATGGACATCCAGACAGACCAAATGGACATCCAGACAGACCAAATGGACATCCAGACAGACCAAATTGACAATCAGACAGACCAAATGGACATCAAGACCGACTAAATGGACATCCAGACAGACCAAATGGACATCCAGACAGACCAAATGGACATCCAGACGGACGAAACGGACATCCAGACAGACCAAACGGACATCCAGACAGACTAAATGGATATCCAGACAAATCAAATGGATATCCACACAGACCAAATGGATATCCATATTGACCAAATGGACATCCAGACAGACCAAATGGACATCTAGACAGACCAAATGGACATCCAGACAGACCAAATGGACATCCAGACAGACCAAATGAGCACCCAGACAGACCAAATGGATATCCACACAGACCAAATGGACATCCAGACAGACCAAATAGACATACAGACAGACCAAATGGACATCCAGACAGACCAAATGGACATCCAGACAGACCAAATGGACATCCAGACAGACCAAATGGATATCCACACAGACCAAATGGACATCCAGACAGACCAAATGGACATACAGACAGACCAAATGGACATCCAGACAGACCAAATGGACATCCAGACAGACCTAATGGACATCCAGACAGACCAAATGGACATCCAGACAGACCAAATGGACATCCAGACAGACCAAATGGACATCCAGACAGACCAAATGGACATCCAGACAGACCAAATGGACATCCAGACAGACCAAATGGACATCCAGACAGACCAAATGGACATCCAGACAGACCAAATGGACATCCAGACAGACCAAATGGACATCCAGACAGACCAAATGGACATCCAGACAGACCAAATGGACATCCAGACAGACCAAATGGACATCCAGACAGACCAAATGGACATCCAGACAGACCAAATGGACATCCAGACAGACCAAATGGACATCCAGACAGACCAAATGGACATCCAGACAGACCAAATGGACATCCAGACAGACCAAATGGTCATCCAGACAGACCAAATCACATCCAGACAGACCAAATGGACATCCAGACAGACCAAATGGACATCCAGACAGACCAAATCACATCCAGACAGACCAACAATAGTCGAAAATCAGTGCTTTGATCAGCTGCATGGCTTTCATTATTCGCCCAAACCCTGATTTCTGTACAGGCAGCGTATCCCATCAGAACAGAAAAACCAATTTTCGACCCAGTACCGTCCAGCCTCTACATGGTCCGTATCATCATCGCCGTTACAAATAAACCACCCAGTGATAGAAATTTCACCCAACTACATTAGCCCTGGTGGAATTCCCGTTCAATGTTGTTTGTTCATAATGACTGGCTAGGTTGAATAGGATCGGGAATTTCCATAGAATCCCCGCACAATTTGGTGCGCATCCCTTGGGCTAGAAGCTCAACTGGACAGAAAACAAGATTATTTTTTTTTCGGTTCAGTTTTAGCAGATATTTCGCATGCTTGTTTGTTTGTGCATAACAATTGCTTCATTTCCGCTATTTAAATATTTTACATAGACTGGAATTTTTTTTAAAGCAATTATCGTTACAATGATGGATTCCTATCCTGTAGTGTTTTCTGAAATAATGTAGGGGTTCCATTTTTACAATTGGAGCATTTCTTTAAAAAAATCCAAATAACACCTTCATATATAATCGGTATGAATAATTTCAACAAGTAGTATTTTCGCGACGGGCCGAGGAGGTTCGATATATAGGGACAGCAACTCTTCTAGGAGAGACAACTCCAAAATCAAACAACTGCTGCCTTGTTGTTCTTGGTTGGACAAAGGCTATGGACGCAAATCTAAAAAGAAAAGCAGGCTGAAATCTGAATCAACTGCCTATTTGGCGCTTAAAAATTTAAAACGTATACTTAATTGTGAGGGAGGGAATCCCTTCCAACATTATAATTAAAAACAAAGAAGAAGAAGAAGAAGAAGAAAGGTTATAACGCGCTCAACAAAATGTTAGTAAAACATCCTTAAGTCCACATGGTACTGAGTTGTACGTAACTTACGTTATGAAAACTAAAGGCTCCAGGACAAAGTGCTGACCAGGGGCGTAGCGAGGGGGGGGGGGCGGGGGTGCGGACCGCACCGGGTGACACCATTTAGGGGGGTGACACCAAGGCAAAAAAAAGCAAAATATATACAGAAAAATTTGAGGGGGGGGGGGGTGCAAATCGAAAGTTTGAGGTGGGGGTGCAAATAAAAAATTGAAAGTCCCCAGTAAGGATCGCTACGCCTCTGGGGGGTGACACCATTAAGTGCCGCACCGGGTGACACCCGAACTCGCTACGCCACTGGAGCTGACCACACCATCACTTCATATGATGAGGTCACAGAAACAGGTGAACTCTACTTCACTTGCCATATTGACAGGTTTGAAAAGGGAACTTTACTTTTTCACCAAATGTCAGATGTTTTCAATGCAAAACAACCCATTCTGATATATACGTAGGTGACGTCGATTTGATTGAAAACATTATTTTGATGACAATGTTGACGACTTGACATTTTCGGGGGGAAGGGGGAGCGGACAAAAATTTTCGGGGGGGGGGGGGGGGTGGCGGACACTGTTAAAAATATATATTTTATATATAAATTCCATTTCGTTCGGGGGAGGGGGGCGGGGCGGTAAACTTCCTGGGGGGGGGGGAGGGGGGGAAGCCCCTGAAGAGATGCCTGGAAGAAACAGGTGGGCCTACACATTTATCTGCTCTACTTCCCCTGCCATATTGATCGTTAAATCTGAAAGAGGAATTATTTTTTTGTGGCGAGTATAAAAACGAAAGTCCAACAATACATTTTGATGGAGGTGTAAACATATATCAATGTTATTCAGCATAAACTCGACTTTAAAAACAATTTGTTTATTGCGGGTAACATGATATATTCCACATCACGACATAATACACGCGTCTTACTTTATGTACATTGACAAACGAATTTTTTATTGCAATATTACGACATCAGATGCATGTGGCGTCGGTAGGTCGGGTCTCGCCCCCCCCCCCTCCCTCCCCCACCCTTACGGTCTGACGCCAGAGTCTGTGGAGGTATTATAGGCATGTTTTTCAGAGCTTTTTTGTTTTCAATTTTTTTATTGTTTCGTTAGTAAGTTGTCTTTAAGTGCATAGGGTCATTAAATGCCAAGTGTCATTAAGTGCGAAGTGTCATTTACTTTCAAGTCGCACTGACTGTAAACTGCCATTGATCGCCAAGTGCCACCAAGTGCCGAGTGTCGTTGAATGCAAAGTATCATAGCCGTCAATTATTTTTTATGCCAAGTGTCATTAAGTTTCAAGCCTCATATCGTGCTAAGCAACAAAGTATCAAATGTAATTGTCATAAATCACATGTGTCACTGGGTGTCAGGTGTCATTTGACTACCATGACACATGTGCCCCCCTCCCCCAGTTTCTAAATTCCTCCCCTAGCCCCCCCACTCTATATCATATTCCCGTCTTATGTGATCTTCACTCCCTGTTTTAAAGCCATTCTATTGGCTTAACAACACATCAGCCACAGCTAAAACGATCAGACCTATTGAGGAGCTGATAGGCAGACAAATAGATCCACAGACAGACATCGCTCAGATCAATCAATCATCAGCGTGTGAGGGGGCTGGGCGGCGTGTTAAGGGTTAATGTCTTCTAGCTTGTAAAACATCTAGTTCGGCGGTCAGACGGGGTGGAAAGGCTAAACGTGAGGGTTAAGGAGGGAAAGCGGAGCCATATCGATGATGGCCCGCTCAGTGGGGCCATCTCGCTAGCCGGCTCCAGTGGGGCTACATTGTTGGCTAGTGATGGCCTACTCTAGTTGGGCCATCTCGCTAGCCGGCTCCAGTGGGGCTACATTGTTGGCTAGTGATGGCCTAACTCTAGTTGGGCCATCTCGCTAGCTGGCTCCAGTGGGGCTACATTGTTGGCTAGTGATGGCTCTAGTTGGGCCACCTCGCTAGCCGGCTCCAGTGGGGCTACATTGTTGGCCAGTGATGGCCTACTCTAGTTGGGCCATCTCGCTAGCCGGCTCCAGTGGGACTACATTGTTGGCTAGTGATGGCCTAACTCTAGTTGGGCCATCTCGCTAGCCGGCTCCAGTGGGGCTACATTGTTGGCTAGTGATGGCCTACTCTAGTTGGGCCATCTCACTAGCCGGCTCCAGTGGGGCTACATTGTTGGCTAGTGATGGCCTAACTCTAGTTGGGCCATCTCACTAGCCGGCTCCAGTGGGGCTACATTGTTGGCTAGTGATGGCCTACTCTAGTTGGGCCATCTCGCTAGCTGGCTCCAGGGGGGCTACATTGTTGGCTAGTGATGGCCTACTCTAGTTGGGCCATCTCGCTAGCTGGCTCCAGTGGGGCTACATTGTTGGCTAGTGATGGCCTAACTCTAGTTGGGCCATCTCGCTAGCTGGCTCCAGGGGGGCTACATTGTTGGCTAGTGATGGCCTACTCTAGTTGGGCCATCTCGCTAGCTGGCTCCAGTGGGGCTACATTGTTGGCTAGTGATG